CACACACACACAAAGAGAAACACACACATGTTAACATTCACAAAGAGTGTACTCACCTCCACAGGATGTCTCCGGTATCCTCCCCTGAACAGCGTCGGAACAAACGTCTTGAGTCCACCCGCCCCACGTGATCCCGCGGCACCGCGACCTCTGCCGGCCCGCACAGGGGCACTAGTGGTGGCCACACCTCTGAGGAAGGAAGGAAGGAAGGACGGAATGAGTAAGAAGGAAGGAAGGATGTGTAAGGAATGAGGGAAAGGTGGGTGAGGAGGGAGGTGGGGTTATGTTTGGTAAAAGGCGCTCGTAACTTTACAAGACAATATTATGAGCGCAAGAGGAAGGAAGTTCCGAAGGGAGGAATGAAGGATGAGTAAGGAGGAAGGAAGCAAAGGTGGAAAAGGCGGACAAAAAGAAAGATGGGTAAGGAGGAAGGAAAGAAAGATTAGTAAGAAGAAAGGAAGGAGAGAAGGATTGGTAAGGAGGAAGGTGGGGTGAAGCTGGTAAAAAGGCTCTCGCAACTTCACAAGATCATTATGAGCGCAAGAGGAAGGAAGGAAGGAAGGAAGGAAGGAAGGAAGGAAGGAAGGAAGGAAGGAAGGATGGGTAAGAAGGAAGGAAGGATGGGTAAGAAGGAAGGGAGGGAAGGGTGGATAAGGAGGAAGGTGGGGTTAAGTTTGATAAAAAGGCGCTCGCGACTTAACAATATCATAATTATGAGCGCAAGAGGAAGGAAGAGGAAGGAATGAAGGAAGGAAGATTGAGCAAGGGAGTTAGAAGGAAGGGGGCATGGGTAAGGAGAAAGGATGTAAGGATGGGTAAGGGGGAAGGAAGGGTGGGGAAGGGGGAAGGAAGGATGTTTAAGGGGGAATGAAAGAAGGAAGGAAGGATGGGTAAGAATGAAGGAAGGGTGTGTAAGGAGGAATGAAAGAAGGAAGGAAGGATGGGTAAGAATGAAGGAAGGATGTGTAAGGAGGAATGAAAGAAGGAAGGAAGGATGGGTAGGGTGTCAGGAACGAAGGGTGGGTAATGAAAAATGAATAAAAGCAGGTTGGGTAAAGAGGAAGGCGGGATGGATAAGGTTTCTAAGGAAGAATGGGTAAGGAGTCAGGAAGGACAGGCAAGGTGGAAGATTGGGCATGTTTGCGCTCGCAGCTGTACAAGATCATATTATTATGAGAGCAAGAGGAAGGAAGGAAGGATGGATTAGGGGGAAGGACGAAGGATGGGTAAAGAAAAATGAAAGATGAATGGGTAAGGAGGAGGGAAAGTAGAATGAAGGATAGGTAAGGAGGAGAGTAAGGTATGTTTGGTAAGAGACCTTACGCTCAATCAAGATTTTTCAAAACGGTCACCCATTGTTGAGGAGGAAAGTGGTTGTCCAAGACATATGGACGTCTTGGGGGGTGTCCTTTTAATAAAGAAAATACGCAACGTAGGAACGGAACGCGTCATGTGCGTATGTGTGTGTGTGTGAGTATGTGTGTGTGTGTGTGCGTGTGTGTGTGTGTGTGTGTGTGTGTGTGTGTGTGTGTGTGTGTGTGTGTGTGTGTACGTGTGTGTGCATGTGAGTGCGCGCACGCGCACACGCACGCGCGCGCGCGTGTGTGTGTGTGTGTGTGTGTGTGTGTGTGTGGGTACACGTGGTGAAACCAATGTACCAGGATCTGGACAATAAAGATGTATCGTATCTTATCTAAGCGTTTTCTAAAACATGAATATAATGACACCGTGCAAGACGACCACCTGTGTAAGACAGCCACTTTTCATCTCAACAATTGGTGGCCATCTTTTAGTTAGTTTTAGTAGAGGTTTTACGGCGCTCGCAACTGCATAAGGTCATGTGAGCGCCTAAGGGTGGGTGTCAAAAGAGAAGCCCTTGCAGGGAATCAGGCTTACTTTGCTCACCTCTCTAGCTTCAAGCCTGCTTCGACTAGATTCTATCAAGGCTTCCTGGAAACAGAGGGTCACAAGAGTGTGACAAATATACAAAACAAGTAGAGGAAAAAGGACAATAGTAAGGATTAGGAAAGAAAAAGCAGCAGTCCCTGTTGCAGTTCAGGCACAGCTATGAGCATGACATTGATGAA